GGCATCGAAAATGTTTTGCATTTTACGAGTACTTTTATAATTCGCGGGCATCGTTTTTGCATTCTCAACAGCCATAAAAGTCACGATAGACAGGCACTAAAGTATAATGAGTGAGAGCGGCACCGAGCGATAGAAAAGATAGGCCGAGAGAGAGAGAGTGCACACTGGTGCTATGGCATCCATTAAATGCATACTCGATATTTATCTATGCGTGCCCTTGAGCATTTGCAAGGGTCGCCATGAAAAGTTTGTGGCGAACGGTAATAAAATCTCAAGTAGCGTGTTTAAACCTGTGCACTGAGCGAAAAGCACTAGTGCAATTGCACAAATTGCAGCATTCTTTTCCTTCTGCTACTCAAGAATCTTTCAAATTTTACACAAATAATAAACAAGTGTAGCCTTTTGGGGCCAGTGTGCAGTGTGGCAACGTTCTAACTAACCCCTGCCACAGCTTGCTTGCCGCACCAGCAAACTGCAATGCAAATGCAACGCTCGGTTGCGCGCGCGCGTGTGCGCCCCAAGCAGCAGCAGCAGCAGCAGCAGAAGGAGCCACTTGCCAGTTGGTGGCATGTCTTTAAAGCGAAGACGTGGGCCACTAATATTTATGTCTGCCGGCCCCGTTGATGTCTGTATCTGTGCATCAGCATGTGTGTCTGCCGCCCCTCTCTCTCACTCTCTCTCTCTCTCTCTCTCGCTGTCTCTCTGTGTGTGTGTGTGCATGAGTATTTTTAGAACGTTGTTGCTGTCTGAAGCCGAGATTTGGAGCGATTCTTTTGTTGCTTCTGCTGCTGCTGCTGCTGCTTCTGATGTTACAGTAAAAATATACCGTATGCTGCTGCAACGTATATACATAAATAAGTGTGCGCTGTTGCTGTTGATGCCACGAGTATTATAAGAAATTACGACACATGCTGACGCTGATTTAGTTTAAATTGTTTGCATGCATGCAGATTAGTCCACTGTCCGTTGTCCATTCTAATGGCACAGTGGCAACGCTGGCTGCCTAGCTGCTTGACTGCTTGACTGCTTGCTACCAGCTGTCCCCCTCTAACCCGCGCTCACGCTCTTTCTTGCCTATCTATGCCTATCTCTTTATTGCATACATAATTGCGCACAGCTCGGTAACAGCTGCAGTGGGGCTCTGTATGTATGTGTGTGTGTGTGTGTGGCTCGGTATTTATCTGCATTTGTGTCTCACTCCGATGTGCGATGGCTGATGAGCTCGCATTGTTTGAATGTGGTGTGCGTTTATCAGTTTACCGTTATCATTAACAAGCTACACACGCAGAGATGAGCAAGCGAGAGGGGTGAAGTGGAGCGGAGAGTGGGGGTAAGGCCCCAAATAGCGCGACACACGCAAAATGTTGCCTGGTGAAAGGTGTGCGATGCGATAAAATTTCATCATATTTTACATTTTCGTAATTTGCTAAAAGCACACACGCACACATGCACAGATATGCACATACACACACGCATATGTATGCATGTATGTATAGGAGCAATCAATTTGTGAGCGTGCGCCATTTCATTTAATTAGATTTCGTTTAATAATGCCACATGCACAAACACACAGACGACGCACAATCGGCAAATACAACAAGAGTCAATAGTGTAATTTAATTGATTTGCGAGCAGCGCAGCAGCAGCAGCAGCAGCAGCAATAATAAAGTTGAAGAAACAGTGGGCAACAGCGGTAAACTGGCCCGATGTCACTCAATTTGATGAAGTTTGAGTGTATTGGTATGGAGCCTGTGCTGTGTGCGTGTGCGTGTGCGTGTAAATGAGTCGCGGACTGTTGCTGAGCTACTTAACCAGTCGTTGCAGCTGTGAGCTTTTTATTGCTCTCATTTGTGTTGTTGTTCTTGTTCTTAGCTATTGCTGCTGGTTATGACGGTGTTCCGCTTGGCCATTGTTGCCACACCATTTGCAGTAATTGGCGCTGCCAGCTTTTCTTTGGCTAACTAAATGCAACGGTGTTTAACTGTTTGCTGCTGCCTTTCTTTCTTTTTTGCTTTGCTTGCTGCATTCGTTCATTCCTTTTTTCATTCTTGGCTGCATACATGTGTGCTTACACATACATAGCTTTCTATGTGTGTGTGTGTGTGTGTGTGTGCATCTTTGCAGACAACTGGGGGATTCGAACACAAATCGGCATGCATAATTAATTATGATTTAATTGGCTTTTCACATGTGCATATGGATATACATCATGTGTGTCTGTGTGTGTGTGTGCACGTGCATATTTGTGTGTTGCAATTGCTTTTTAAAGAGCTGCAATTAATTTTCCAACGAATTTAATGAATTAAAGCGGCAAACATCTGCAAAACGATTACAAAAAACGGCGCTAATCGAATTTCAGTTAACATGGAAAATGAAATACATATGTATATATTACGAGCAAAGGTGCGGGTTAAGGCGAAAACGGCTGCGCTGCTGCTGCCGCTGCTGTTAAAGCTGACTTTACAAGAAAAAGGCGAGCATTGACTTTTTGCCAGAGCGAGACAGCGCGATCGAATGAGACGAGTGCGCAAAGTTGCCAGCTTTAAAACGTTTGGCGATGCCAGATTAGCGCAAACCAACATTAAGGTTGTGCGTGGCGGGGGTGGGGGGTGGGTGGGTTGTGTTTGTCTGTCTGTTTGCGTAGATTTCATTTTCATTTGCGTTTTATTTGATGTTAATCTGCCATCCGATTTGCCTTTGGCTAACATTTGCCTTTATTTTTCCTTTTTCCCTTTTTTTTTTTTTTTTTTTATATATATTTTTTGCAAAGCCAACGCCCCGGCTAAATGGCTTTGCATGAAATGAAAATCTCGCAAATGGTCAGCGCCATAAGCCAACGCCTAGAAATGCCAACAACAGCAGCAACAATGGAGGCATATATAAAGAAGGAGCTGGCACTTTGGGCGCCGCCGCCGTCTCCTTTGCTCGACCGTCACGCAGCTCGTTTGTTTATGTATCTACGTGCCGCAGCCGCAATCGTCAATCAGCTCGGGCTTGGCACGTTTGCCTTTTTTTTTTCTTTTTTTTTGAAGACTATATGCAAAGCATAACAAAAAAAAAAAAAAAAGTATAAGGGAACAGCACATTTCAGCTGCACACCTACCAAGTCGTCGCTGCTGTCCATCAACGGCTCTTTTGAGTGCTGCTCCTGCAGCTGGCCGCCCCCACATATGCGCTACATATTTCTGTATACCCTGTGCCCGTTCGAGGGAAGCATATGCTAGCCTGTGCTAGTCTTTGTTACAGTTAGTATTTATATTTCTTCAGCTATATAAAAGTGTCCTAACGCGACGCCACAGCAAAGTCATCTATGCTTTCGATAACTCTCACAATGAATTCAACATCGATAATTATCGATATTCAGCGGTTATTTTTAGCGCCTGTCTCTGATATAAGAAAAGCTCTATGTATAATTGGGATTTTCATGCATCTTAGCCAAAAAATAAAACCTCATACATATGTTCGATAACTTTGACAAATACTTAAAAATCGATAATTATCGATATACAGTCTTTACTTCTAGCGCGATTAGAGAAGCTAGCAATAAAAACAAATTGATATATGTATATGAACGTCTTGCATTGCACGCAGAGAACAACAATCTTTTTATATTCTCGATAGGGTTTTGTTAGTTTGGTGTCGAGGTAGAGAAAAGGAAAGAAGAATAAGTATTTGGGTAATTATCGTTTACGTGGTATCTGCCAAGCGTGCACACCCAACTAAAAGCCTCTTGCTATCTCCCTTATATACTTTTTTCTTTTTGTCAGCCTGCTTTTCCTGTACTTTTTGTGGCTTTTAGCCGGTTGAGTCATACGGCCGGCTATGTGATTCGTTAGCTCCGATTAGCTGGCTCGCGTCACCTTAATGAGCTGGCCAGATACTTCTGATCCCCACATAGGGACATAGGCGGTGACGGAGTTGGAGACGGAGACACGCCCACATGCATGCACAGACATGTCAAAGGCGAAGCGGCTTTTCAAATTGGTGTGTACATATTTTGATAACTTATCGGCGCAGCCGATGCCGAGCATCGATAACGCTGCCAAGCCGCGTATCGATAGGCAATTAAAGCGCCGCTCTGGCAAATCACTTTGCGCCAAATGTCATCGCTAGCTATTTGACATTTGACAGCTGATTTGCCGTCTGTTGAATTTGAATTTGAATGTTGCCATTGCTGAATGCCAAGTGCTACAGATCTGGCGACATGTGCCGTCGTCCATGTAAAGTGCAGCACAATCAAATGCAAGCCAAGTGCGTTAAGTTGAGCCTGCCCGACTAGCCAGTTACCCAGCATGTCAAATACTCTTTTTCTGTATAGACATATCGAAAGCTCTTCGAAAGCATGGGAAGTGTGTCCACTTTGTTTTTTTATGTATCCGATATTTATCGATATTTTTGTAGATATTGCCAGAGTTATCGATAGAAGAATAGTTGAAAGTTTGTTTGTTACAGCCAATATGCCCACTTTAACAGCTGTTCAATCTGTACAGGGTATGAACTAAAGAAACATTGCGTTATCTACGTTTCCTGTTCGACTTGGCGACATTGAAATGAATGGCAGACCGATACCCCAACCCCCACCCATCCTCGACACGGAGACGAATGCACTTGAAGTTGTCGTCGCCAGTTGCAAGTTGCAAGTTGACTGTTGCCTGTTGCCTGTTGCAAGTTGCAAGTTGCCTGTTCTGCATGCACTGCACACATGGCCGGCTGACTGTTCGACTGTCTGACTGTTCGACTGTCTGACATGCACATAAATTTAGCACGCAGATTGCGGCAAATGCATAAATATGTTTCTCGTCGCACGCATGTGGATTTGAATGGTTTATTGTTTATGGCTTACAGTTTGAACGCACACACAATGTGTTTTATCAATCAAATGTGTACACAAAAAACAGTTGCTTATATTTATATATTATTTATATGTTTATATATATATATATATATACATATATGTATATATATATATATATATGTATACATATGTATATTCGACACAGGCAAGCAGCTAGCAAAACTCCGACTGGCTCAACGCAAAGCCGACAGACAGAAGCCAACCACAAGCCGGGCATCTAGCAAGCGATTGATTTAGCGGCAGGCGCCAATTGTTCAGTTCGTAAAGCCGCCACCATTGCACCGATTAGCACCATGAACGGCCAGGGCTGTGAGCTGGGCCACAGCAATGGGGACATTATATCACAGAATCAACAGAAGGGCTGGTGGACCATCGGTCTGATCAATGGCCAGCACAAGTATATGACCGCCGAGACATTTGGCTTCAAGCTAAACGCGAACGGGGCCAGCCTCAAGAAGAAGCAGCTCTGGACGCTGGAGCCATCCAACACCGGTGAAAGTAAGTATACATTATTCCACATTATCTTTATTAAGCCATACAGATGCCAAATATTCTAAAGCACTTGCTTAAATCTAGCGAACACTGTCCAAGCTTTGATATCAGTTGAGCTTCTTTCTAGGGAGTTTGGTAAAATTCACGCGCCAGCGTGGAAAATAGGTGAAAGGCAGCAGTTGTCCTTGTTTAAGGCTCCCTAATGTTAAGCAATTTCGTGAAATTCACGCGAAAGCGTGGAAAATAGGTGAAATGCAGCAGTTGTCCTTGTTTAAGGCTTCCTAATGTTAAGCAATATCGTGAAATTCACGCGAAAGCGTGGAAAATAGGTGAAAGGCAGCGGTTGTCCTTGTTCAAGGCTCCTTTAATTAAGCATTTGGTGAAATTCACGCTCAAGCATGGAAAATAGGTGAAAGGCAGCGGTTATCTTGAAAAAGTGTAAACTATACGAGAATCTACATACAAAACTGTTATAATTTTCGATATCTCAACATTGATATTTATCGATATTCAAATGGAATAAGCTCCTTCTGATTGGGATACGAGAATATATACAAGCAAATTTGTGTAGCTAGTTCAGTTAACGAAATCGAATCATTTTTAATGATAGCGCCAAAAATAGGTTAACGATATGCAAATTAATCGATTGTTTGGAAACGAAGTTATCGATTAACGGAAAACTACGCGAAGGTAATAAGAGACCCCGACGTTCAAATTTTCTATCTCTAGTCTGTATCTAGATCAAGAATAAATATACTTAATGGAATTGAAGATACTTTCTTCCTGCAGTTACATACATTCCTGCTCAACATCACGAGACCCCTTGGGCCCATTGAAAATGGGAATGTGACTGTGAGTGTGTAATCGGCCGTTCAAGCGAGCCTTCACTGTATGCATAAACATAATGCTTGAGCTGTTATCGGACGGCGCTGATAAGCATGTTAAATGAACTAACGAAAATGGATATGTGCGCATGGAAACTGAGATGATAATGCCAATGATATTGATAATGAGCACGATAATGACAATGATAGTGCTAATGATAATGCCAATGCTAATGATAACAGCTGGCACTATTTGGCATTTATCAGCTAGCTGCATTTGCATTCGGCTGACGCATTTAATTGCCGACTGTAAATCATTTGGCCAGTCGTAAACAGAGCTTTAGCTATTTGGCTATGTGTAACTCGCATAAATCATTTGCCAATTTGCAGCTGTGTTGGCCAAAAGCAGAGCTTGGCCCGCAGCTGCGTTAATTTGACGTGCAGGGTATCTGTCCGTCTGTCTGTCTCTCAGTCTGCCTAATATATATTAAAACGCAAGAAAACAAAGCGTCTCACGAATTTGGCATCATTTATCATCAAGCCACACGGAGACGCCACATGTTGCATGCTGCATGCTGCATGCTGCTTGCTGCTTGCAACGGGCATTGCAATTGGCTTTGGCCATGCTGGCCGGAGCTGGTCTGGTCTGATCTGGTCTGGTCTGGGCTGGCAATTATAATTAAGGCAACTCGTTTGCCGCTGCGACTGCCATTGGCCACGTTGCAATTAATACAAAATATTTTTAGTCGAAATCCCCCTCTTACCCCTTTACCACTTCTTGATAGCCAGCGCCGTCTTGTGCTGGCTGGCATTCGTAACGGCCATTAAAATAGCTCAGCCAAATTGAAAACGATGTGGCCAGAGCGCACGATAATGTTTAGCTAAATTGCTCAATCGCCGAAAGAAGAAGAAGAAGAAAAATGAAGTAGAAGCAGCAGCAGCAATAAATAATACAAGCGATAGCCGCCTATCGATAACTAATTAAGCATTGTCTGCTGCTAGGTGGCATCGCTAATCGCTGCGCAGCCGACAGCTGACAGCTGATTGGCTGCTGCCGTTTGCCGTTATTCGTTCGGCTATTCGAAATGAGTACAGTTAGCGCGAGACAGACAAGGCGCAACAGAAAGAAATTGACTGTTGGCATCGCCTCGCAAGCGGGTATTTGCATTTTGTCAGCCAACATGCTATTCAATTAGTCGTATGCAGCTTACCCTACTTTTCTATAGCAGTGTAGAGTGTATTATAATTAAATCATGAAATTTGTCATGCCTGTCTGTTCGTCTGCTTGCATCTAGACAAGATCGAACCATTATCTCGTACTGTTATGAAAAATGTATATGCCAATGAGTTGCCATAGGAACGCTCGATCATTCGATATAAAACATATGAAAACTCGTTTTGATTCTCAAGATATCTTGAGCCAACTTGCGATTCAGAAGACTTATGTTAAACGAGCCATATGTCGTATAGCTCTATAGGAACGATCCAACGAATATTTAAGATCATCTAAAACAACTCTAGAACCAACTTGGGATTGCGTCCATTACATTGGCTGGACTTTATCATAAAGATTCTTTGGGAAAATCACTCGAGAAATTCTTTTCGGAAAATCGCTGGAGGAAGAGAATTTGGTTCTCTTTTAGGGATATCCTGAAAGAAGCCCATCTAGAATTGTTGAGCAAACTTTCTTTTATAATACTATGTTTTGTTATAAGGTTGACATGGATGAGCTACTGCTTGGGATTATTGGATGTAACAGATGTCTTTGATCGGATTTTATGCTTTTGCTAATTTGAATTATTTTCCGGCATGCACACAGGTATTATCTATTTACGATCTCATCTGAACAAATATCTGTCGGTCGATCAGTTTGGCAACGTGCTGTGCGAGAGCGAGGAGCGGGACGCGGGCAGCCGCTTCCAGATCAGCATCAGCGAGGACGGCAGCGGACGTTGGGCCCTGAAGAACGAGTCGCGCGGCTACTTTTTGGGCGGCACGCCCGACAAACTGGTCTGCACGGCAAAAACGCCCGGCGCCAGCGAATTCTGGACGGTGCATTTGGCGGCACGGCCGCAGGTGAACTTGCGTTCGATTGGACGCAAACGATTCGCCCATCTGTCCGAGTCGCAGGATGAGATACATGTGGATGCGAATATACCCTGGGGCGAGGACACGCTCTTCACTCTCGAGTTTCGCGCCGAGGAGGGCGGCAGATATGCGCTGCACACGTGCAACAACAAGTGAGCCCCCCTTTCCCCCCCTTAACGAATCTAATCCGTATGCTTAACTGATATCCATCCCATACGCTTGTAGATATCTGAATGCCAATGGCAAGCTGCAGGTGGTGTGCAACGAGGATTGCCTGTTCAGTGCCGAGTATCATGGCGGGCATTTGGCGCTGCGCGATCGCCAGGGCCAATATCTGTCGCCCATTGGGTCGAAGGCGGTGCTCAAGTCGCGCTCCTCGACGGTGACACGGGACGAGCTGTTCTCGCTGGAGGATTCATTGCCGCAGGCCTCGTTCATAGCTGGCCTCAATTTGCGCTATGTGAGCGTCAAGCAGGGCGTCGATGTGACCGCCAATCAGGATGAGGTCGGCGAGAATGAGACCTTTCAGCTGGAATACGATTGGTCGGCGCACCGTTGGGCATTGCGCACCACACAGGATCGCTACTGGTGCCTATCTGCCGGCGGCGGCATTCAGGCCACCGGCAATCGTCGCTGTGCCGATGCACTCTTCGAACTGATCTGGCATGGTGATGGTTCGCTCTCGTTTCGCGCCAATAATGGCAAATTTTTGGCCACCAAGCGTTCCGGTCATTTGTTTGCCACCTCCGAGTCCATTGAGGAGATAACCAAGTTCTATTTTTATTTGATTAATCGGTAAGCAAGCGCCTTCTTCACCTGTGCCTCACGTGAAATGTCATCTACTTGTTGCTCTCATACGTTTTTTTAGGCCCATTTTGGTGCTGAAGTGCGAGCAGGGCTTTGTCGGCTATCGCACGCCCGGCAATCTCAAGCTGGAGTGCAACAAGGCCACCTATGAGACCATTTTGGTCGAGCGCGCCCAAAAGGGCATGGTCCATTTGAAGGCGCACAGCGGTAAATATTGGCGCGTCGAGGGCGAGAGCATTTCGGTGGATGCCGATGCGCCAGCTGATGGATTTTTCCTGGAGTTGCGCGAACCAACACGAATTTGCATAAGGTGAGAGACAAAGAGATAGAGAGAGAGAGATTATGAGAAAATCACATTTTTTAACGGCAAGCCAAAGAAAACGAGATTTGAAAATAACGTTTAAAGTTAAGCATTAACAGTGTGCTGTTATTAATCAAAGCGCTCTATTAACAGCATGTTATTGGCAATTTGCATAACAGCCGTAACAAATAACATTGTTCGCCGCATAACAGTCGAACTCTGCAGTTGTACTGTTAACGTTAACTTTGCTGTTATAACAGAATGTCAATTGGCTTTTGCCAATTAACAGTGCAGCGTGCTGTTAAAAAGCGGACAACTGCTGTTTGCTGCTCAGCCTGTGACTGTTAAGCTATTAACAGCTGTTAAGCTATTTTTGAATATTTGATTTGGCCGTTAAATGGAACTGCAAGTTCAAACCCTTTTATTAACGAAATACAATGCTTTCACTATCGTCGCAGATCCCAACAGGGCAAATATTTGGGCGCCACCAAAAACGGAGCCTTCAAATTGCTGGATGATGGCACCGATTCGGCCACACAATGGGAATTCTAAGTTGCAGCGCTTCCAAGGATGCGGCACGTGTTTGGCAAATGCAACAATAATTACAACAACAACAACAACAATAACAACTACAACTACAACCACACGTATCAATTTTTAGAGTTTTAGCAACGTGTCGACTATGTCCAAAAAACAAAAACATAAACAAAATCAAAAAAAAAAAAAAAAAAAAAAAAACAATTTCGAACGCAACAAAAAAAAGTCGCACAAAACTGTAAACTACATGCAAATTAATGGCGAACAACAAGGATGCATGTTTATGCAGATATATATATATATATATATGTATATATATATATATATATATATATACAAAGATTATGTACATCAGCACATATATATATATATATATATGTATATATATATATATAGAGAGCGAGCGAGATTTTTTGAAAAAACAACCTATTTAGCTTTTTATACGTTTTTACAAGAACAAAAAAAAAAAACAAAAACAAAAACAAAAATCTAGCGTAGGAAGTGAAACAATTTGTCGCGAATCCTTCCGTTTTCCAATATCAGCAACAAAAGAAAATATATTAAATAATAATACAATTATAAATGAATTGCAAATGAAGACATGCAAAAAAACGAAAAAAAAAAATAATTATATATATATATATATATATATATATATAAATAGATACACATCATATACATATATACACACATACGTACACGCATACGTACATATATTTATTCGATTTGTAATGCTTTTAAAAAGGGCCGCTTAACTTAAAAACAGCAAAAAAAAAACAACAAAAATTTAATAAACAAAACAAAAAACAACAAAAAAAAAACAACAACAACAACAACAACAAAAATGTTGCTTCAAAACCAACACATATGCCTATAAATTTATTTATATATTTATACATATTGATATATGAAAAATAACACACACACACACACGCACACACACACACACACTCACACACTCACACTGACACACACACACATGGACACTGACACACACACGCACACACATTCATGCAATTTTATTATATGCAAAACTTAGTTTTAAGCGCAATAACAATAATAATAATAAAAAAAATTAAAAAAAAAAAAACTAACAAAAAAAAAAACCAAGAAACATGCAAAATTTTGATACGCAGCGCAATTGCAATATCCGATTTTTAAGCTATAGCTACATAACCTACAATTGCACACACACACACATACACACACACACACACACACACACACACACACACACACACACACACACACATACATATATATACATATATATATATATATATGTGACTTGTCATTTTTTGTTACATATTTATTCTTATTATTACATAATTTGATTACATTTTTTTTGCCGTCGCACATTTTTATCTTTATATAAATAATGTATTTTTTTTTTTTTTTTTATTTAATCATAAAACAAAATTTTCTCAACGGGGCAAAAAAAAAAAAAAAACAAACAGAAACGGAAATTTTGTATGATAAATGATATACTATGAAATATATATATATATACAATAACATACCTATATCATAATATATGCACGATTTAATTATTTGTTGTTTCGCCCAAATTCCCATTTCCAACGAATCCTCGGGTAAGTATTACTCCCCTCCAAGGGAAATGCATTCCGTAAGTCCAAAACATAGACAAACATATATATTTATATGCGTGAAATATATGTGGACATATGTTGCTCAGATCAGGATCAGGATCAGGATCTTTCAGTATCTGCTGATGCAAAAGTTTGTCGAGTTTGTGCCTGTTCTACTGAAAATATTGCTAGACTTAAATATTTTCATATGGAAATCGAGGGCTAGATTTGATTTCTATACCCAAATGTGCTGGCTTAGATAAATCCAATTGATGGGGCCCAGGTTATCTATGCCTTAAGGTCAAATCATATTTTGTGTACAAATTTAGTTCATAGTTGAAATCTGAATTTCGAATCGAATCGGCAATCTTAAGCCTGAGAAAGAATTCCGACAGAAAGGACGCGGCGACTCATCCCGTACAACAATCATGATCAGCCTTATATATATACATATAGCCGGATATATCTGCTGTATCAGCCAACGTTGCCCCCGAATAATCAAATGCAATGTTTGTTCAGATTTTAAATGTATTTTTATATGCATATACACACACATATACATATGCAATGTATATATATATATATATATATATATATATATATATGTGTGTATGTATGTATATATGTTGTATGTATATTTGCATCGTTCCATTACAATTACATTAAACTTACAATTTCTGTTTTTTCATTGCTTATATCATATTGTAATATGCCAAGTTTATGTGTGAGTGAGTGAGTGTGTGTGTGTGTGCGTGCGTGTGTTTGTTTGTGTGTATATATATAAATGTGTATGTGTGTGTGAGTGTAGCCAATTGCCTGCCAGCGCCAGTGTGCACACACACACACACGCGCACACACACACACGACAGGACAAGTCCAATTTTAGCTACTTTTAAAAGCGTCCGATTCTTTAAAATTCGACAAAATTAATATTATATATATATATATTATACGATTACACGTGCACACACACATCGTACGTACATTGATTGATTTCATTGTATTTTGTTTTTCCATTTATTGTATATTAAATGATTTATTAATTTCTACGATTCTACAATTGCAGGCAATGCAAATTCGTACACATTTGCATGCCAATAATATGCATGTATTTCTATGCCCCCACCCAACCCGTTCCACGCACCGTTCCTGCCGCCCTCATCCTCATCAATGTACGTACGCCTGGCCACACTGCGCGCATAATTAAAATACAAATACAACTACATACATACATTGGGGTGTGCCAAGACTTTTTATCATTATGATCAAGGCTCTACATTTATGTAGATTTCATTTTTGCATTGGTTTTTTTCTTTTTTGTTTTTTACAATTTATAGTTATTGATCAAACGGTTTTTAGTTAACTTAATTGCACGTACTATATTCGTATAAATCCTATTTATAAAGGGGTTTTCGCTTTAAACTTAGTTGCATGATGTTTTTTTTTTTTTAAATTCATCATGTAATGCTTTCTTGTTATATGCTCTTTGTTGCGTTGTTCTCGTTTTCTTTCATCTTTTGATTTTGATCGTTTCCTTTTTCTTTCTTTAAATAGAACATAATTTGAAACCTGGCTATGTGTGAAAGTGCTTCCGGTCTGTTTATTTGTGATAAATAAAAACTACAAAAAAAAAACTAAAAAAAAGTATTCAACATTTTCTGTTACAATTTCTGTACAAAAGCAAAAGAGGAACAAAATTTTGGATTATTTGCTTAAACAAAGTGAAAACACGCGGCCTTCTTAACTTAAAGAACAACAGATAAAAAAAACAAAGAGTTTTAAAAAATATATATATATATGTATATGTATATAGGGTATACATTTAATTTATGGATGTAGGGCATGATGTTGTGCACAATTACAACGTAATTACATAGTATATATAAACTTGATTTTATTTCTCTCTCTCTCTCTCTCTCTCTCTCTTCGTTCGTATTGTTTCGTGTTCCTCTTTATCTGTTTTCGCTTCGCTGCTCTAATCGAATAAATTATTCTATGCTAAAAGTGGGCTACAAGGTTTCTCTTCACTTAGCACTTAATATGTATGTTTTTATAAATTTTATTATAAATTGTAGGTATAAACTTTTTGCTAAACGAAGATCAACTATAAGTATAAACATAAAATGTATTCTTTTCATACAGTAAATTTTACAAAAAAAAAAAAAATAATAATAATAAAAATTATTTTATAGTAATAAAAATAATAATAATTTTAATAATAACCTATCAAAATAATTGATTTTATAAGATATAGGTATATAACATACAAAAATTATGTTCTCCGGCGGCGCTTACACACGCACGCACACACACACACGCACACTTATCATACATAAGTCTATGTACGGGCGTGTGTATGCGCGGTTTATGTGTTTTTTCTTTATTTATTTACTTTTATTTTGTCTGGTGTGGTGTGTTGTGGTGTGGTGTGTTGTTGTGTGTTGAGTTGTGGCGTGTTGAGTTGAGTACAGTTAGCAAGCGCCCGCCACTACATTGCTGCTAAGTTAAACTTCAGCGTAGTGCGCAACACTTGAATTATTAAAATTATTAAAATATATAATACATATACATATATATATATACATATAATTATATATTGTGTGCAACCAAAACAAAAGCTACCAATAATTCACATGAATTATGTATATATATATATAATTCTCTCTCATTCGCTGTGTTGTTTGTGTGTGTGTGTGTGGTGTGTGTGTATGCATAATAGTTTTGCATAAACCGTTCAAGAGGTTTGCCGATCCGAGGAAGATGTTACTTGATCATCATCATTCCGACGACAAGGTGGCGCCTTTTGGCTGCACTGATTGGTCGCCGTGTGTGTATGTGTGTGTGTCTGTGTATCTGGTTGAGTTTATTTATGTTGGTACTGATGATGTTGTTATTGTTGTTTTTGCTGTTGGTGGGGTGTGTGTTTGTGTGTGTGTGTTTGATTGAGTTGGTCTTCGCCGCTTTTAACTGCTGCCTCCTCCCGCGCTGTGTGCGTGTGAGTGTGTGTGTGTATATATATTTCCTTGGTTGTGTTAAAAAACAATTGTTTAAAAACGATAATTCTCATCGGCCATGTGAATGGCCCAGAGAAATTTGGTTCTATGCGTTTTATTAAAGATCTTCTCAATCGGCACGCCGTACTTTTTACACCTGCACAGCAAAGAGAGAGAGAGAGAGATTAGCTTTCACATATATAAATAAGATTGATATATTCAGTTTACCAGGCAACCGTGATGCGTGGATCGAGATAATTTAGTTTGGATGTGCCCAGGGCAATGGTCTTATTCTCGTCTCTATCAGTCTCTTGTAGTTCTAATTTTTTCAGTTGATCCTTTAAACGTTCCAGTATTTTACCCTTCTTATCAGCAATAACCCTTTCCTTCACAGAACCACGCTTGGCCGCCTTCTTTAGATCCTGTTTTAGATTCGAATTGAAGACATTTAGAGACGTTCCATGTCGAGACGACCCAAGTCACTTACATGATATTCGGCCTCGCAGTCATCAATGGCATCGCGCTTGGCGCGTATCTTCTCCTTTAGATTCTCCATCGACTTCTGATGGCCCTTGGGCACCGAACGCTGATGGTTACAGAGAATGGCGACTGCACGATTGGCGCGATTATATGTCAGCAGCTTCTCGGCAACCGATGCGTTGCTATCGGTAAGCAGATCCAATTGGTTTTGCAGCGTTTTCGATGCGTTATATGTGCGAAATACTTTAGCCGTGAGTCCTGCGAATGGGATCGGAATATAATAGGAGATGGTACAGCAGGTAATATAGTTAGTGGCATACCATCCATCAACTCTTTGAGATGCTCATTTAGCACTTGGGTATTGAGACGATCGAAGAGATCATCGCCATCCTTTTTGTTTTCCATAAACAGTTCCAGATTTTTGAAGACACGCTTCTCGACCTCGACCTCGTTGTAATAGCGTATGGAATCCTTACCAGGGAAATCAAATACGACAACATTCTCCTTGCCGTTGAGCTCCTTGTGCAGCTGCACATGCTCAACACGCAACGAACAGCAACCGACGGTGTCGGCTTGATCCTCGTCCTTTTCATTGCCCGCTCTCAGTGCGAGCTTATCAATAAAATAGAGAGCGACGGCACGCTGCCGCACACGCATCTCCTTGGACTTCCATTCGTCGCGGTATGTGGCGCGTATTTTGTCAATAAACTTATCTAGCCTGCGGGCTGTCTCGTATTTAATATGATCCTTTTCGCCCTTTAGCTTAGACGATGGATTCAGCATAATGTATTTCACCTGACCCTGTACATTTTCTGTCCAGGAAGCCAGCCAAGTGACGGTATTGTCGTGACGCACCTCCTTCCAGCGCTCACCAGGCGGTGGCTGTGGCACCTTCGATTGCTTACCACAATTAATGGACACATCGGCGGCCGCAATGCGACGCTTGATCATGCCCATTTTTGGATGCTCGCCGCGGCCGCGAAACAGACCCGGGGGCTCCAGCCGGAAGTTACCAATCTTCTCTTTGTGACCATCGATCATACAGAAACCGTACTCCTTGATTAACGCTTCGTTTTCATTCTTCTTGGCGAGCTTCTCCTCTTTGGTGGCTGCTTTGCGTTTTTCAGATTCAGCCAAAAAGAATTGATGCATTTCTTGGAAATTGCATTTGCGAAAATCTTTAATAATTTCCTTCTCCTTGGGTGTCATAGACTTGCGGAAATCCTTAAAGAAATTATTATTGAATACGTCCTTGGTGCAATAGTCGTGATTCAACATCTTTGCATAAAATGTGGCCGCCTCTTCGGTCTCCTCGCTGAGCTCCAGCGGCTTGCCATCATAATAAAAGCGTACGTTGCGGGGCATGCGCTCATAGGGCGGCGCGAATACGGGGCCTTTATGCTCAAGCGTTGTCCACTTGACACCATCTTCGCGCTTCTCCTCCTCCCACCTTAAAAGAGCATAAGCACGTTTCGATTTAGTCTTCTTGTTGTAATTGTCGCTGTTGTTAATTTTATTTTTTATACTGGCAGCAGATGTTGCTCCTCGTTGCTGCTTGAATATAACGTTAAGTTCACGTTTTGCAATGAGCAGCAGCGACAGCGACAGCACAGTTGCCATTTGCCATTTGCTGTGCCAACAACTGTGCTCACATAACGCAATCAAACGTGAAAAAAACAACGAGTCACACACATAACCTCAAAACTTGTGTGTGTATGTATGTGTGTTTTTTTTCGCTTGCACAGCTGTTGCACGCGTGCCGTGGTGAATGGTCAAAAAGTTTATAAACTCAACGCAGCCGTCTTGTCACTGCCAAATGTGACTTTCAAAATATATAGGTCAGTGACATTCAAACTTAACACATACGCACATACACACACGCACGCACACGTCGACTAATCAGATACGAATGGCAACGCACACATGCACCCACACACACACACACTTACATACATTTTGCTTAATACGATGCGTTATCACTTTCTGTTCATAGCAAATCAAACCGAAAATCAACATTCATAATTTTTTTTTTTTTTTTAATTTGGAAGTTTTAAAGTGTTCTGTTATAGTATGTAGAACATTTGATGTAAACTGAGGTGTAATTAAAATTACAATGCAATCTTTGAAATGAAAAAAATGTAATAAAAAGAAAGGCCCTGTCATTAAATTAATATTCAATGTTGATTTTCGGTTTTAGTTTTAAATTTGTCAAAGTTAACAAGTTATTTACCATCTCCACACTTCCTCCTCTTCATCCTTTTTGTCCTTGCGCGAACGCTTGGTTGGGGAAACAGGCTCCGCTTTGATCTCATTCTCCTGCAATATGCAACAAAATAAACATTTATTAGAAAACTCTATTTAATTGCATTGTGGGACACAACATGGCTTGTTTTTTTTTTTGTATTTTACCTTTTTGACCTTTTTCTTTTTGGGTTTGGCACTGCCGTATTCGTCATCGAGCTCCTCCTTTGGTCGTTTCTTTTTGTTTTTCTTGTCCTTTGCTTCTTTTTTGATCTTCTTACGCGCAAGCAACGGAATGTCATCATCGTCATCTTCAGCGCCGTCCATTTCATCGGAGGGTTCTTGTTTACGCTTACGCATTGCCAATGGCATATCCTCGTCATCATCGTTATTATCATTATCATTGTCATTATCGTAGTCGTCATCATCATCGTTTAAGGCGCTATCATCCTCCGTATAGGTTGCCTCCTGTTTGGCCACAAACGATGGCTCATCGGCTCTAAACTGCGACATGGAGTAGTCACAGGAGCTGGCCTGCGACAAGTCAAAGTTATCCTCTTCCTTTTTAACATCCATAATGTGCTCCTCGTAGCCATTCTTATAGCCATTGCATTCAGATTGCTGTTGGAGCTGCTGCAGATGTTGCTGTTGCAATTGCAACTGTTGCTGTTGCTGCAGTTGCTGCTGTTGTTGCTGTTGCTGCAGTTGCTGCTGTTGCTGCAGTTGCTGCTGTTGCTGCAGTTGCTGCTGTTGTTGGAGCTGCTGCTGTTGCTGGAGATGCTGCTGTTGCTGGAGTTGCTGCAGCTGTTGCAACTGCAGTAGGGGATCATCATGGTCATTCGTGTGTGGTTGTGAGACGGGCTCTGGCTTAACGAATACACCATCATAGGAGGGATCTTTCGTGGATGAGCCATGTCGAGAACTTGAACTGGAATGTTTGCTTTTCGATGATGATGAAGACGATGACCCCTTGTGGCGTGAGCTCGACGACGACGAAGACTTGTGCTTGTCCCGACTGGAAGAACTGCTGCTACTGCTGCGATCTTTGTCGCGACGATCTCTGTCCTTAGAGGATGAGCTGCTGCTGCCGCTCTTATGATGATGATGGCTAGACGAAGACTTGTGCTTGCCGTCCTTATCGCGATGACTGGAAGACGACGACGATGAGCTGCGATGTGAGTTACTGCTGTCGCGCTCCTTATCCCGATGCTTGTCCTTGCCACTCGATGAGCTACTACTACTACTTTTATGCTTATCCTTATCGCTGCAAAAAGTGTTTAATTATTTTCATTAGCCCAGGGGCATACAAAGGGTATGTGATATGGTACAATATAATGTGATTCGGAACACCTACCGACTGCTGCTACTGCTGCTTTTATGTTCCCTTGATGAGCTAGAGCTCTTGTGCTCGCTGCGCTCCTTATCACGATGCTTATCCTTGCTGGATGATTTGTGTTTACTGCTGCTGTTGCCTCCGCTGTTGCTGTTGCTATTGCTATTGCTGTTGCTGCTGCTATGATGATGATGGTGATGGTGATGGTGTCCGTTTGTGGTTACACCATTCGATTGCACTTCGCAGCTGCCGCCATTTTGCACGTGTACATTCTGCAACGCAAATCATAAGCGAAAAAAAAAAAAAAGGAATTACAATTAAGATGGAAAAATGTGGGATACAATTTGAAATACAGACTACTGATATAGAATCCATCACAGCTATTTACGGACAATTTCGCAGTTGTCAATTCTTTATTATATAGGCATCTATATATATATATATATATATATATATATATGTATGTAGTACACGTATGGAAATATTTAGAGCTCTACAATTCTTCGACTTATATTTATGTATGTAATTTTTGGGTGCTTGTATGTGTGAATGTAATACTTGCTGTAACTGAAAACGAAATGAAGCATTGACTACCTGTGCGATGTAAAGCATTGTGTGCATGTGCATGTGCATGTGTCTGTCTGTCTGTTTGTTTGTTAGTGTGTGACACATTTAAGTAGCAACTCTGCAAGTCAATTGTCAATGATTTACAAAACTCAGAGCTCTTTATGTAGCTATGTGTTTGTGTGTTAATATGTAAGTGGATGTAGACACACCACACCACACCACCACGTGGTGAAAAATCAACCCTAACAAATTCAAATGTATTGTGTTTCCGTGCATGAGAAAATATTTAAGTCAAGAAGAACACATGGCGGCGACAGTTAACAGGGTACAAGGGGCTGGGAGGGGGGCCCCTTGCAGAACTGTTGATTTTTCCGACGTTTGTGTTCATACTTTCTGCCCACCGTAACTTTTAACGTAAGCGGTGTAACAACAGCAGATCAAGGCTCTTTTCTTTTTTTTTTTTTTTTTTTTTATTTTTTTATTTGTGTGTGCATATGCATGTGTGTGTACAAACGTACGTACACATGTGATTACTTTGGCACCCTGCGCAGTGTGACCAAATTTGTAGAAACGTCAAAAATACGCAAAATACTATAACAATTCACAAAATGTATTCGTTCGAACTTATTTTCAAAACCAAAGCGGCATCTACTTTAAATTAAATATTTTTTTCCATCACAAATGTATTTTTCTACAGTTGAACGGTGTATACATTTATATATTTACATATATATGTGTACCAGTGCAATAAAGTCTGTATTCATGCACAAAATAAGTAATCGTAGTCATGAAACAATTGTAAAAATAAAATATATAACACACTTTAGAAAATTATTGATGCACGCAAAATACCACACTAGTATTTAGAGCAGCGAAAATCGGTCACACTGTGCCAAATACACATTGTCGCTGTGTCGTTGCCGTCTCTCGTCGATTTCCTACCGCCTGCCTTTGCCTGCTATACTACTTGCATGCATTGTCGCCATTTTCGTAAATTACCAAAAGGCCTTTTACTCTTTATTGCAATGCGACTACGCATGATTTAGGCGCAGGTTGGTCGACACTTGCATTGGTTGCAAGTACTTATGCATTTTTTACATGTGAAAATTATCAACACATTCGCACCGCTCGTTAATGCACTTACTGAACAGATGAAAATTACATAAAAATAAATACGTCTCGAAATTACTTACATTTTCAGCAGCCACATCCCCACTCATTTTGCACAATTTCTCAGTTGGCAGTGCGGCGCTCACGGCTTTTTCCCAACTTCACTTTTTTTATATTCTTTTCTACACCTCTATATGTTGTAGTTAATATATATTAGTTTTCAAAAGCCGTTGCACACGACTGCAAGTGCTACTTGTGCCTCTGCATTTAGTGCGCGATGGTACAAAATGATATTTTTTTTTCCCAAGTCCCCAATATTACACTTAGAACAGTCTCTTTCTTTTACAGCGCGCAGCGGCCACGCGAACACGTTCGTACCGAATCTACTTCGAACTGTATGCTGTTTGGAGATGTGCACATTGCACGCCAATGGTTTTCGATAGTTTTCGGACACCAGCATCGATAAGTCGAGTACTAGCTTAAATTTAGTATTTTTTAATAGTAATTTTTGCAAACGTTTTGGGTGCACACTGTTGGCAATTCACAAATTAATACACATAACATACGTATCAAGAGTTTTTTTTTTTTTGTTTGTACCAGGTAAAAAAATAAGTTTCAAATCAAATGGCCAGTCGTGGTGCAACTAGTGTTATCACCGCCACGACTGGCATTATTCATACATCTGTAACGTCAACGGTAACGGCATTGCAAACAATCACCAATGTGCTCAACGTTAGCTCCGTGCACTCAAACAACGTGAACATCTCAAACAACACGCACATCGGACTCGGAGCTGCCGCTGGTGGAGGCGCCAGTGGAAATGATGCTCATGGGCCGGATGGCGAAGCAGCCAAACCGATGTATCCGCGTCTATTTAACAAAATTGTGCTAACGTTGGAGAACAGTCTCATACCCGAGGAGAAAATTGATGTGACGCCGTCTAGTCAGGACGGACTCGATCATGAAACGGAAAAGGATCTGCGCATACTTGGCTGTGAGCTTATACAAACGGCGGGCATACTGCTGCGCTTGCCCCAAGTGGCCATGGCCACTGGCCAAGTGCTTTTTCAGCGCTTCTTTTACTCGAAGAGCTTTGTGCGCCACAATATGGAAACGGTCGCCATGAGCTGTGTGTGCCTCGCCTCCAAAATAGAGGAGGCACCGCGTCGCATACGCGACGTCATCAACGTCTTCCATCATATCAAGCAAGTGCGCGCACAAAAGTAAGCATTCCAATCAATACAATGAGAGCTGGGCAAACCCAAGAAGAAACCTCCAAATATTCATGCTTGTTTGATTTTTTTGCAGGGAAATAGCGCCCATGGTGCTGGATCAGTACTATACGAATATGAAGACTCAGGTTATCAAAGCGGAGCGTCGTGTGCTCAAGGAACTTGGCTTTTGTGTGCATGTGAAGCATCCGCATAAGCTGATTGTCATGTATCTGCAGGTGCTGCAGTATGAGAAGCACGAGAAACTGATGCAAATGTCGTGGAACTTTATGAACGATTCGCTGCGCACGGACGTCTTTATGCGCTATACGCCGGAGGCGATTGCCTGTGCCTGCATTTATTTGAGCGCACGTAAGCTCAATATACCGCTGCCGCATAATCCGCCGTGGTTTGGTATATTTCGTGTGCCAATGGCCAATATCACGGATATTTGTTATCGCGTAATGGAGCTTTATACGCGCGCCAAGCCGGTTGTGGAGAAGCTCGAAGCAGCCGTCGAGGAGCTGAAGAAACGTTATATCGATGCACGCAACAAGACCAAGGAGGCAAATACGCCGCCTGCTGTTATCACGGTGGATCGCAATAATGGCTCTCACAATGCCTGGGGTGGTTTTATACAGCGTGCCATGCCGCTGCCCACAGAGAAGTCGCCGAAGAAGGACTCCCGTTCACATTCACGCTCCCGGACACGCACGCAATCACGTTCGCCACGCTCACGTACGCGCAGTCATTCGCCAAGTCGCGAGCGATCGAAAAAATCGCATCGTGATCGTGATCGGGATCGGGATAGGGACCGTGACCGCGACCGCGACCGTGAACGTGATCGGGAACGCGATCGTGACAGGAGTCGCTCGTCCAGATCTCGCTCGCGTTCAGTGCCCAAGCACAAAAAGAAATCGCGTCACTATTCGCGCTCGCCCACGCGCTCCAGTTCGCCGCACAGCAAGCACCGGAAGAGGTAAGTGTGCCGCCCATTGCTTCAGCTGCAGCAACTTGTGAATATTAACCCATAACGACATTCCGCAGGAAATCGTCGAGAGAGCGCTCCGATTACTATGTGAAAAAGGAACGCTCCAGCAATACGGGCAACAACAACATTAGCGATAGCGACAAGTACCGCAACTCCAGTTCCAATACTGGCAAATCCCACAATCGTTACTCGCATCGTGGCAGTGGTGGAGGTGGTGGCGGCGGAGGAGGAGGAGGCAGCGGCGGTGGTGGTGGTGGTGGACATAACAGCCGAGGTGGGCACAAACATCGCGAGAGCGATCGGGCTAGAGATCGCAAACGTTGATGAAAACTCTATACTAATTGTACCGGAAAATGCTTTTTGATTTTTTCATCATATTTTTTTTCTATTTATTTTGATTGCAACACACATATGCGGTTTAAGTTGTAAATTCCAAACATAATTTTGAACGTCATTGTAAAAATAAAGTGAAATTTATAAACAATATGTAAATGTGCACAATATATAATGCATGTTTTAAGTAGAGTCAGGTTCTGTCTGCAGTCGAACTATATTGAAGTGTCTACGAAAGAAGAGTTAATCTGTGTACTATTAGAAATCCAAAAGGATTTTCAGCTACTAAAAGGTAGAACAAAAGCATTATATGACTCAGTAGTTCGCCCGTAAAAATAGATCACAGCAATGCGCATTAGAAGAACGTGACATGTTTAGCACCTTTGTTTAATTATCGTATGGGAATGTAAGAAACAAAATGTAATTTAAATATCAATTCGAATACATTTTGGTTGCCCCAAGTGCTGTTCGAATTTCAATTTCAACTCGAGTGCAGATTTATTAAAACTTGTTTTTAGCTGGACAGTCAAAACGCATGCAATGAATAGAACAAGTGATCATCGGATGATGAGATGTGTATTGTGCAATACAATCGGCTGGCATTTATGCTTCCATTATGAGCACTTTTGGCTCATATTTAATTAACCCTATACTACATATTGGTACTTAGGCAATAGATTATAGTTGTTGGCGGCCACAGCAGCACCAGTTCGCATATCCTGGGTAGAGCATGCCGTGCGATTAACGGCGCAGCTCCGACTGGAACCCACTATTAGTTCTTCAAATGAGAGACTATATCGACATAGGAGATCAATCACATCTACACTGTCATAGTGTATGAGAGCAGCGAGATTTGCGGATGATCCAGCGACACATCCCGGAACTCGGGTGTAAAGCTTAGTATGAAAAAGCTAAATATGGTCGCTATTATCCATTCGGAAATTGTGCTTATCACATGATAATACCAGCCCCCATCCGAGGGATACCTGCAATGGGAATTAAGTGTTATTCTCCTGCCGAAGCCATGATTATTTCAACAGCTTACCACTTCCGTGGATCTTGTCCGTCAAACAGTATATGCGACATGACACCAGTCACAGCCAGCATTATAAACAGAATAGTGCAACAGACGGACATACCCAGACGTATGTGCGCAGTCTTTTTCGTGCCAGCCATGGGATATATCGAGTATGTGATTAAAGCCTGCATCCAAAAGTATAAGGTGCCGCAGCCGAAGCAACAGAACGCGCCAATAAAGTGGACAATGCGCACATTTGTTTCCTGAAAGTTGCCCACAAAGCTAATGCCCAGGCAGGACAACATGCCGAACCAAAAGGCTATACTATTGTGACGGAGCACAGCGGCGCCCAGATCCGGATGATGTTCATGCAGTTGCAATACATGACGATAGCGCACATAAATTGTGAGTCCCACTGGAAATGAAAATAAGATCAATACAATAACAGACCGTGTGAGGCAGTCAGCACATGACTCATGCTTCCCCAATCGAGATACGAGTCGAGTTTGGAAATGCAGCGATAGCGAACTCACAAAGAACGCTGCCAATGTTAATTAGTTGACCGAAAATGCAGCTCTCCGGTGAGTAAGTGGCTGCATCGCTAATGTACGGCACTGTCGGCACCACATGACCCTCCAGGACAGCCACAATATAACTGCGAATGGGCAAAACGGGTACACAACCATAACAAACGGTACATTTTTCCAAATTGAAACGAGAATAGCCACTTACGTGCCCAGAAATGTCACTTGAAAGATGAAGAAGACAGCAACCGGCAATAGGTAAACATACGACATTATGCCAGCAGCTATGCAGCAAGAGAAATAAATACGGATATTTTATTGCTGCGCAAAACAGATTTTGTGCTTTGGGGTTTTTTTTTTACACCTCAAGCGAATGCAACGGAACTGCAGCGCTGCCAACTTGACTCGTAAAAAGACTGGCCAATGGTAGCTCATCAAAAAGTACGAGAACTGTGCGAATCCAATCGGTAAATTGGTGCTGCCCATCACTAATTGTAAGCAAAGTGGCATTTGAAATTGAAATCTTGATAAATATAACTAACATATATAAAAAAAACATTTGAGAATTTGCTGAAATCGGTATGTACTCGTGTGCGTGTATTAATTTTAGTTCATCTTGTTGATTTAATTGATGTGCACCCTTTGCAGGCAACTGGGCATGAGTTGTTTTGTGGAAATCGACGGCTCCTACTTGGAAGGCGGCGGACAGGCTCTGCGCAATGCTTTAACCCTGAGCGTAATACTAAATCGTCCGGTGCGTGTGGTCAAGATACGTGCCAATCGTCCAAAGCCGGGTCTATCCCATCAGCATCTGCATGGCGTTAATTTGCTGCGCGACATTTCGAATGCTGAGGTCAACGGCAATACGTTGCACTCCACGGAACTGACGTTTACGCCGCGCACGATCGCCGGCACCATGTACAAGGTGGACACACGGACCGCTGCAAGCATAACACTTATATATCAGATGGTCATGCCGGTGCTGCTATTCAGTGGGACCTCGTCACGCATCGATGTCACTGGCGGCACAAACGTATCGTTTGCCCCGCAAGTGGAATATATGCAGCAGGTGCTGCAGCCTAATCTGAAGCGTTTCGGCGTTAGTTTTGATCTCAAGGTGCTGCATCATGGCTTCTATCCACGCGGCAATGGCCGTTGTATGCTTGACCTGGAGCCGCTGCGCTCACTGAATGCCGTCCAATTAAATGACTTCGGCCAGTTCCGATCAGTGAAAGGTGCCGCCTACTATGCCGGCCGTTTGCCAAAGTGCATTGCTTTTGATATGCAGCATTCGGCGGAGCGTGAAATACATCGCCTCTGGCCGGATCACGAGTGCAATATACAGGTGTTCAAGCATCCGCCGGACAGGGCGCGCGATAACGGTGCCGGCATCATACTGACCGCGCTTACCAGCACCGGCTGTGTGGTGGGTGCGGCCACTGTGGGCGAAAAGAACATCGATGGTCATTTGATTGGCTCGAATGCCTCCTGTGAACTGGCCGGCTACATTAAGAACGAGATCTGTGTGGATACCCACATGCAGGATCAGCTAATCATCTATATGGCCCTGGCCAGCGGTTGCTCGCGCATCCGTGCCGGCGCACTGACCAAGCACACACGAACAGCCATTTATGTGGCTGAGCAAATGGCTGGCGTCAAGTTCATCATTGAGTACGGCAATTTTGGTCAAACGCTTATCAGCTGTGAGGGCATTGGACAGCGGAATGCATATATGTAAGGGCGGACGGACACACGCACACGCACTGACACCCACACAAACACACACACACACACATGTATACACATAAACGCACTCCCTCGCACACACAGATAGCGGGAGTGTAAGATAGGAAAGGTCAAGTCTGTTACACACTTAAATTATTTATGTTAAAAAATATATATTAATATATATATTTGTCAAATAAATATATATAAATGCGCCTAGATGCGGCGGAATATAGCCAAGAAGTGATCACCCTTATTGCGCACCACCTTGGCGCCCTCCTCACTGCTCTGGTATAGCTTGGGCGTAATAGGATCGGCATTCTGCAAAGATATGGACAAACATTTTCAGTTAAGATCTATATACATAGATAGATAGTATAGATAGAAAATCGCAAATGAGCTGATTTGATTTCATGCGGGCATCTTATTGAAATGATCATGTTTTCTAATTTGATTCGTTTCATGTTTCCAATCAGATTCAATGTTTTTAATGTATATAAATATGAACTAATTTTCTCTCTTTTACCGCCCGTAGAATAATTCATATATATTTATATACTGATATACTTCCTTGAACCACAATTTTCAGTCAATGGAGTGGTAGATCTGTGTGAAATAGATCTTCGTAAATGAGTTTGAAGCGGGATATACTTACAGCTTCCTCGTCAGTGAGTCTTTCGTACAACGGATGCTGTGTCATGTGTGAGACGATCCACTTGTGGAGATCCTCGACATCCGTCATCGTATATACCAGGCCCTGCGGCAGAAGATGGATATTATTGAACAGTTGTGAATGTCCGTTTCCAGTTGAATTCTTACCCCGCTCCGGAGAACGTATGCGTATTCGGAGAGCAGTGCCTGGTTGATGATGCGCCACTTATGTTTGGCGCGCTTGAAATGCGGATCGGGATACAAGAAGAACATTTTCTCGAGTTGGCTCTTTTGGAAATAGTTTGGCAAATATTTCATCGCATTGGTGCGTATGCAGGCAATGTTCTGGTATGCGCTAGTTTCCGCATTTTTCATTCTGAGCGCCGCAATGCGATCGATTACATAGTCGGACACTTTAACTCGTATCTCCATGCCAATGGCCAACTTATCGGGAAACATTTCGCCCAGGGTGACTAGAAAGCCGCCGTAACCGCAGCCTATGTCAGCAAATTCGACTTGCTGTTCGCTGCCAATGTTGGGATACAGTGAGCGCCAGTCCACATCCTCTGGGCGGGCGGGACTGTATTGTAGTTAAACTTAGTGAAGCTAGTTTAATGGCAGGCTCAAAAACTTACTAATCAAAACTGTGATCCGCTATGGGATTTGAGTGTGCCCGTTGGCGATAGAAGCGCTTCTGTGGCAGCCCAGTTACCGACGATGTTGCGGGCAGCGTCTCGCCCTCCTGGCTGTTGGTCACCATTTAGATAATTAATTCTAAGCCAAATTAAATTTGTATCAACAATTGGTAAAGCATGTAAAAGTGCATGCGGCACATTGAGTTATCGATGATCGATGTATCGATGATCGATGCTATCAATAGTATCGATAGCTTGTATTTGTTCTTAAACAAGTTGGCAGTCCCAAAACGCGAGCTGCCATTGTGACCTTATCGATTGTTTTGCAGCACTAGTTGCCATCCCTAGCGCATTGTGTATGCATTACGCATTTGCGAAATTTACCAGCAATACGTTTTAAATCAATTTTAAACCAATTGCCGTTGCGGCGCCTGTGCTCAAACCCTTACCAATTGCAGCCGGCCAACACGCCACACCTCAGCTAACGTGGCCATGTACGCCACCAATAATGGCAGCACAAATAAGGCGCCAAATAGGTGAGTCTCTCTCGCAGAGCTCGAGTCGGTGTACAGTGTGTACAATTTAATGTGTGTTTTGTGTTTGTGTTGTTTGGCTTTTATCTTTTAGCAATGCCACATCGATGTTCGATAATACCATTACTGTCACGCCAATCAAAATGGAGCTAGGTGACGCTCTGGCCAAGTCTGGCGCCACGGCCACAACGCCGGCCCTGCGGCGGCCAAACGCCGTCATTGTCACGTCGCAGCAGTTGACAGTGCCCATGCAAACGGGCTTGTCCGTAACGAACAGTGGCGGCGGCGGCGGCGGGAATGCGGCATATACGACGGGCATGAGCGTGACATCCACCACAATGACGACGACGGCTCCAAAGGAGAAACCGACGAAAGCGTCGCGCGTTCAAGCGGTGCGCAAGCCGCCGCCAACGATTGAGAACTTTTGGCCGAACATATTGAGCGAGGTGAACGGCATTGGTCAGGTGGATGCCAAGCATCAGGTGTTGCCGCTGGCGCGCATCAAGAAGATCATGAAACTGGATGAGAATGCCAAAATGATAGCGGGCGAAGCACCGCTGCTGTTTGCCAAGGCCTGTGAGTATTTCATCCAGGAGCTGACAATGCGCGCCTGGGTGCACACCGAGGAGAGTCGTCGCCGTACGCTGCAGCGATCGGATATTGCGCAGGCGATTGCCAATTATGATCAATTTGATTTCCTAATCGACATTGTGCCGCGCGAAGAGATCAAACCCTCAACCACGCAGAAAACCAAAGAGCCAACCAGCTCGAATGTATCAGCGGCAGCTGCTGTGGCTGCTGCCGCCGCTGCTGCTGCAGCAACTGCTGTTGCCAGCAATAACAATCCCAACGCTAGCTTTACAACCGGCAATGTTGTGAGTGGCGCCAATGTACCTGTGGCTACTGCTGCTGCCGCCTCTGGCCTCAAAATGGACGCCACTGCGGCCGAAGTGCTCGGCTTCAGCACAGTCAATCCGGATCTGTTTGCGGCGGCAGCCGCCAGCAGCAATCAGCAACTGCAGCAGCTGACAACGCAACAGCATCAGCCACAGCAAGTGCAGATCATACAGCAGGGCGCCGGTGCACAGCAGCTGCAGTACTTCATAGCGCTGCCTGGGCAGCAGCCCACGCAACTGGTGCAGCAGCTCCATCAACAGCAGCAACAGCAGCAGCAGCAGAACAGTCTCGGTCTAAATATTGTTGCACAGCAGCCGACACAGCAGCTAATACTCACCGCCGGGCCGAATGGCCAGTTGACAGCGACGCCGGCGCCCACAACAGCTGCTCAGCAGCAAACGGCGCTGCTTCAGAATCTGGCCCAACAGCAACAACAACACCAGCAGCAACAACAGCAGCAACAGCAAATACAACTGCTGCAGCAGGTGGTGACGCCAACGGGCGAGCTGACCAATGTGCCGGTAAGTTGGACATTTTAATGCAATTTGATGCTCGTTGCTTAATTTTTCATTTATTAAATCAACAGATTGCCATCAATGCCAATCAGCTGCACTTGCTGCGCCTGCAGATGCAACAACAGCAACAGCAGCAGCAACAACAGCAGGTTGCTGCTGTGCAGGCTGCAGCGGCGGCGGCTGTGCAGCACAATCAACAGCAGCAGGTGATAATACCCACGCAATTGCTAACGGCACAGCAGATACTGCAGCTGGGCGGTACGCCCACAAATGCCACAACTGTTACACAGCAGCAGTTGCAGCAGCATCAACAGCAACAGCAGCAGCAGCAGCAGCAGCAACAACAACAGCAGCAACAACAACAACAGCAGCAGCAGCAACACCATCAACAGCAGCAGCAGCAGCAGCATATACACATAAGCAGCAACAATCCAAACAACAACAATAACAACAGCAACAACAGCAGCAGCAACAATAATAACAACAACGCAGCGTCTATATTCATAAATGCGACGGCGTCGAACGCCCAAGTAGCGACGCAAGCGCAAACACAGGGCATAACAACATTAACCACAGATCGTACGCTCAACAGCGGCTTTCGGTAAAACGTCATAAAGCGAAAATTAGCTTAAGTTAAAAAAAGCAAGAGCCCAAAACAAAATACACCCAACACTGGAGAGCACACGACACCAGCAGCCACCTTATTGTTAAGGATAAGTTAAAATATAAGCTAAGTTAAACATGTTTAGCATTGAATTGAAGTCCAAACATTTTGGCCAATTAGCAATCGTATCGAAGCATCAGGAGGCAAATGGTAAAAAGCATTTGGCGTTGGCATATTGATTGCGCCCGTGTCCTGCCATTCAGTTTCGTACTAACCTATACACGTGTATATTAGATGCAGCGGAGAGAGTGTTTAATTAGCTAGCTCCTAAGTACCAATTAGTTAAGCAATTGTATAAATAGAGGATACATTTTTATTATGTATTATGTATTTAGTGTTCAGCAGCAAGGTGAAACCCAAACCAGCCCAAGCAGGCGGCCTAGCAGGGAAACTCTTTGTATAATTCGAATGTTTCCTGCCTAATGTACATATCATAACGAATTGAACTTAATTGGTTTGCCCAACGACTCGCACACGAAAGTATCTAGCTACAATTTCAAGTTGCCAACTAAATTCTTAAGTTTCACACCCTTTTTGTACAGCTGTCTGTGTGTGTGTGCGTGTGTGTGTGTGTGTGTTTGTACGTGTGTATATACCTTAACAAAAAAAAAAAAAAGAAACAGTTCTAAAGATTTAAATGGCATCGGCTCAATTGGCATTTCCTGGCTTTGCACCTGATCCAAACACGCCGAGCTGCAGGTTTCACATTCTATTTTAACAATACGTAACAAGAGAAAATCCACCCCCTCCCAAATAAAACATTTTATAAATATATAGCTATATTATATATATATATATATATATATTGTACTTGTATAGTTAAATATTAGTATTTAATGGAGCAAAATTGCAAGATAACTCAATTGAAGGAGTTATCCAGGCGTTAGCCAACCAAGCTCATCTCCCTGTCTTTACGGCTCTCTGATTTCCTCGCATGGAGGAATATTCTTCGTCTTCTTTTCTGTTTGTAATTAAATTAAGCAATTCAACGAAATACAAAAAAAAAACAAAACAAAACAAACAAAAAATCAAAAAAAAAAAAAATGTATAATCAAATTAATGTTGCTCATTTCTTATTGGCTAAAATCTTGTTAATGTCCTGCAGTTCGCGCGTGCTCCACGGTTCCAGCGGATCGGGCGGCGACTCCGTTTTCCGGCCATGTGCGGAACGCCTGCGCGACGCCTCCTTGCGTTTGCTTTCCAGTTCCGCGTCGCTCTCCTCGGGCGAGACTCTGCAAAATGTGGGCCAGGCATAAATAAATAAGGTATGCGCATAAATATTTACTAAGCTTAAGTTATGATATTCATTATAATTAAATTTCAAATTTAATTCAACTGATTTTTAAAAATAGAAGCACAGGCAACCTATTCTGGAAAGGATCAAAATTAAGGGAAACCCCCAAAAAACAGTGTTGGCAAGTTGTTTAAGTTTTCGGATTCAATTTGAAGGAATATATATTAATTGCCTAACATTGCTACACTTCCATATGATCCCCTGGAACCCTGCTGGAGAATCACCCAATGCGGCACTCACTTGTTTCTGCGTCGAATCCGTGCGCTTTTGGCGCGATGCGCTGCCTCATCCTGGGCTGGCTGGCATTTGCGTAGATGGAACTGCTTCATTGTGGCATGCACCTGTTCGGCTGTGGGCAAATCTTCGCTATCCGCGCCGCCATTGCCGTCCTCGGTCTCAACATCCGCTTCCTGTTCAATGGTCAGCACCTCCTCGGCCACCGTCTCTTCGAAATTGAAGCCCTGCAATGGCTCGATGTGAGCAGCTCCTGCTTTGGGTGTATAACCTACCGCCAGCGTGTTCAGATCCGGCAATTGCTGGCCCCAGACCGATGACATGTTGGACTGGCCATCATAGTTGGGCGATCGCTTGATGTCCGCCTTGGAGAGTGCGTTGTGCGTGCGCTTGGCTAGCGATAGTTTGCCCAGGATGGGACCACCGCTGTCGCTCTCCTCCGTCTCCACCTCGGCAAGCATGTTCATGAACTCCTCCAGTTTCTTGGGGTCCACGATATCCTTGGGATCTTGAAACAAATTAGTCAGATTGCTGGCCATGGGCACGGGCAAAGCGGGTGTTGTTGGCTGTGCCGGCTGAGCTGCTGCGGCTCCAGCTGCAGCTGCAGGTGCTGCTGCAGTTGCTCCAACTGCCGGCACTGGCATCTTTTTGGCCAGCTGCGGCTGCGTCTTAAGCGTCTGCTCGACAAGATCGAACGCCTTATTGGCCAGCTGCTGCAACCCGGCAAAGTAGTGCGGATCATGCGTATCCGGTCGCTGATCGGACATCAGGATCAGCTCACGAAACGGATCCGGCACGGCTGCAGCCACAATTGTTGCTGTTGCTGTTGCTGTTGTGCGCAGGGGCACACCATTACTGGCGGCCGGATTGCTGGCAAAGGTGAGCATGTCCATGGCATTGGTGAAATCGGATTCCGTGTGCAGGTTGTATGGGTCCTTGAGCTTCTGTTTGGTCACCTTGACGGGACTCGATATGGAGGCGCGTCCCCACATCAGGCGACGCATCTCCTCCCCAGTCATGCCGCGCTTCTTGAGTGCCGTCAACGTGACCCGTCCCACACGCTGCAGCCGAAAAAGAAACACGCGAGATTGAATGAGTGAGGCTAAATGGGATGCAGTTCTGGCTATGAGCTCACCTTCCAGTTGGAGACGGCACCCTTGCGCTGCTTGGCGCGCGTCTTGCTCTTGCTCTTGATGACCATGACGCCGCGCACCTCGAAGCCCGTATCGTCGGCGGGACCCAGCGGTATCGAGTACGCCTCCAGATAGCCCTTGGCATCCGCCTGCGGCACGGCTCGCTCCAATGTCACAACAATCTTGGCCCACTGCTTCATCCACTCCTTCTCAGACTGCTCGATGACGGTCACATAGGTATTACCCATCATGGCAATCAACATGTTGAGCAGCAAGATCGGCACGAATATCATGAATATGACAAACACGGTTTTCGATAGATTCGGATACGTTGTCTGGTTCAGATCGGGATACTGTTTGGAACATTAAGATTTGCTTTTTACTCAGAAAATGATAAACAAATGATCTCAACAGATATCTTCCATTAGTGTGTTTAATATTTTAGTTCTTTTTTGAGGTTAGTTTCGGTACAGTCCCGTTCTCTGATGTTTGAGGTTAGTTTAGGAAGTTTCCAGAAGTAAGTTTATATTTTTAAGGGCCTTAAGCTCAGGTTTGGTCGAGTTGTTTTTTGTCTGCCTTTAGGCTAAGTCAAGTTGTTAAAGTTATGTTCGTATATTCTGGTTTGAGGTTGGTTGTGTTAAGGTTTGAGGTTAGGAGCGATGCAGGGCAAGCCATACTCACATTGTAGTCGCCCAGCGTGGTCTGGAAAAGGGCCATCCAGGTGCTGGTATAGGTATTAAACATGGTCGTCTGCACCTGCGGATGTCCCTTGTAGAGGAAATAAAATGCCTGCGAGAAGCCGCACAACACAATGGAGTAAATGATGCCAAAGGTGAACATGTCGCCGGTTATCATCGAGTATATCATGGTTACAAAGGGACCCGTCAGACGTATGGCTCTGCAAATGATAGGAACATGAATGGATCCCGTTGGGTTTGATTGATGGCGATGTCTACCCGGCAAAGAACATGAGCAGAAACCAGCTGCCGGGCACAGCAAAGATCAGGATGGCCTCCTCGGTGTCGGTGTCGCCAATCAGACGAAATGGTATGCACGCCAGGATGAGTAGATTGGAGAACAAGAAAATTGCCTTGGCCGGCGCATGTGACTATCAAATCAATATACAATCAATGGAAAAAAGTCGAACATGCTTCACCAGGACCTTACCAGCTGCTTGAGGAATGCGGATAAGCCCTGGTTCTTGATCTCGTCACCCTGCTGAAAGATCACATAGCTCAGGACGCCTGCTATGGTCGCCAGCTCGGCGCAATAGCGCGCCACAGTTTGGGCATTGTAATCCTCGCCCTGCTCCTTACCATTCCCATGTCCATCCAGTTCGGTCAGCTGGGCCGCTGTCGCGGACGCATCGCCAGTGTCGCCATCGTCCAGCTCGTCGCCATCGTGTGCGGGTCGCAGGTAAACGGATACGGAGAGGCACAGCAGGTGCGTGGATAAGATGAGCAGACGCTTCAGGAACTGGTTCTGTGCAAAGGTCTTCCATTTCTCCTCGAGCAGGCGCTGTATAATGCCGCCATCCAACATGTCCAGATGCTCCGGCTTAGTGCCATTCAAGATTATGAACAGCGCCGAGTTCCAGTCTGCAGAGCAAGATGCATTAGAAGAATTTCACAAAATTTACATGGCAGCTAAGGAAGCTGGGAATTCCAATATGGTTGGGTCTGGTACTTACTGGTGCGTCCGTCGGGCAGCAGGGTGTCCAGCGCGTTGAGTGGATAGCCGGAGCAGGTGATGTTGCTGTAGCGCCAGAACTCGCGGGCGGATAGCTCCAGCATTTCGCGAAAGACCTCGGCACGGCCCAGCTTGCAGGCGAGCGTGAGCGGGGTGAGACCCGTCTGGTTGGCAATGCCATTCTTGGCCGGCGTCTTGGGATGCCGCAACGCATAGCCGAACATGTCCAGCTTGTCGCACACGACCACCATGTGCAGTATCATGTTGCCGAAAGAGTCCTGGGCATCCGGATCGGCGCCGCAATCGACGAGCAAATTGTAGACGCTCTCGTTGGCACAGCAGGCGGCCCAGGCCAGCGGATACTCGCCCATGTAGGCCAAGCCCTCGTAGTCCGTGCTCTTGGCCGGATTCGAGCGCTGCTGATCGCGCGGCAGAAAGAAGCTGCCGATCGCGCGCTGATTGATATCGGCGCCCGCCTCGATCAGATCGGCGACCAGCTCGTTGTTGCTGTACGCAATGGACAGATGGAGCGCACTGGCGCCCAGATACTCCTCGCCCTCCATCACGTCCAGCGCCAGATTGGGATAGACGCGCAGCAGTACGCGCGCCAGCTTGGTGTGTATCTTCGAATCGCAGATGATCAGCACATGGAGCAGACTCTCGCCGAGTGCGCCGCGGTACTGCATCTGCCAGCAGGCCTTGTGATCCTCCCACTTGCCAAGCGGATCGTGTATGGAGAGCGATGCCTCTATCGGTATGGTCACCTCGGTGTGATCGCGATATTTCCAGCGCAGAAACTCGGCCCGATTGATCATCTGGCCCTTGCCATCGTTATACATGAACACGCCGAACTGCTCCCGGATCAGCTGCTCGACGGCAATCAGACCGCCCGTATTGATCGCATCGATCAGATCCCCACCTGAAACGGGTCACATTCTCGGGTTAGCTGCGATCCGCTCAAGCATTGCCCGTTGGCCACTTACCGCGCTTGTAGTCGGCCAGCTTGTAGAGCAGACACCTGCACGCCGTTGCCGACGACTGCGAGATGACCGCGTCCAGTATGGCGCCTGGCTTCATTTCGGGCGCCTTCTTGCGCAAACATTTTTTCAGCAGAAACTTCATCCCGCCAGCTAACCAACTAACCAGTCGACTGGACTTGTCGTCCCATCTGGATCCCTTCTGCCAGGCACTGTGCAAGTTTGTTTGTTTGTTCGATGACGATTCCAATCAATCTCAGTGCCTCCGTTGTCCGGGCAACACCCAAACTCGACAGTTCCCAACTCCGCATAAGACTTGTGACACAATTCTGTTATGTTAAACGGGAGTAGCCGACTAGCACATACCCTCAACTCTCCACAGGTGACAGTTTTTCCTCCCTTTGCCCCACTATGCATGGGAAAATACTCCCTTGTTTTCACCTCGGTGCTTATAGTCCGATCTTTATGAAAGGTAGGTATTCAAAATAAGAAATATTCTCTGTGTGTATATACTGTGCAAGAGCCTATATACCAAGTTTGGTTTATCTAGCTTTTCTAATCTGCAAAATCGATGTTTTCAAAATCGATATTTATCGATATCTTGAAAATTGGATAGCGTATCGTCAGCAATAATCAGCTCGTTTTCAGTTATGGTTATCGCTAATCGATTTTATGAAAATTCGATAACTTATCGAAAAGGTGATCAGCTCGTTCCGAGCTATGCTTTGAGAGCGTTGCCTCAAAATCGATATTTATCGATATCATGAAAATTGGACAGCATATCGATTGATTAGATGAAAATGATCAGCTCGTTTCAAGCTATGCTTAAAGAGTCATGTCTCAATATCGATATTTATCGATTTCGAACACAGATGCTTCCTTCTGCCCGTCACATACGTTTGCAGCAAACGATGATACCCATTGAACACGTTTTCTATTGCGTGCAGGGTATAATTGAGTCAATCTAGGCCATATACCCTGCATATTTGATGGCTGCTAAATGATAAATAGGGTTGTTTTTGTATTGAATTTTCTGGTTTTTATTTTATTATGTATATAAATATATTTGTTTTTTTTTTTGTCACTTATGGCTAGAGTATTGATATCGGATATACTGTAAAATAAATTGTATAATGTATGCATGCCTTGGTTGATTTTATTTATTTTGTTTTTTTTTTTCTCTCTCTCTTTCTGCTCTTGTTTTTCTTTGCTCTTTCGTTTTGATTTCTAAACGTATTTTTAAATTATTTGCAACGTATTTTTTTGTGAAGATCGCGTTTACAAAATCTTTATTTTATTTCTGCTTTAATTACATATACATTTATGTATACATATATATGCCTTGTATATATATATAAATATAAATAAGATTCAAAAAGAAATACATAGAAATACATATATATTTATATATATATTTATATAAATATATATAAATATGCATGTATATTTGTAAATATGTTATGTGTTGTGTGTGTTCTATGTATCATATCTATCATATATATATATTTATATATATGTGTATATATTCTTAATCAGCAAATATCTTTGTAAAATACAATATATATATATATGCAAATATATTTATCATAATATCGAGACTGAATTTCATTATTGTTGTTGTTTCGATAAACAAGACAAAAACAAACAAAATATTACAATATTCAAAAAAAAAAAAAAACAACCGCATTGCCCCTGCGCCTGCACCACTGTGCACAGTGGGCTGCATCAGCAATGCAAATGGCATAAAAAATAGTTGCAAATTTTGTATATATTTACCCTAAACACGATAAACCAACCAACTCAAGTCGAATGTTAGTTAATTGGAAAGTTCAATCAAATATTGTTTTCAATACTTTTTCAGTTTCGGTTTTTCTTGTCAGATCAGAATATGCCATAAGTTGGATAGGCTTTGTATATATATATATATATAAGTACTAGATATGAACAGTATGAAAATATGTGTCAGAAATGGAAAAAGCCGCGAATGTTGAAAGTGTGGGAATAGTTTATAAATCGATTACATGCATAATTCGTGTGACTAAATGCAAAGTTAATTAATTTGAATATTGTTGTTGTTGTTGTTGTTGCCTATGTGACTTATGTCCTATATGAATAGAGTATATATATATATATATATATATATATATATATATATATATATATAGCTCTAGGCGTATAAGTATGGGTTTGGTCATTAAATTGTTGTTAATCAGTCGCAAAATGTAGAATTTCAGTTGCTGTCATTGTTGCTGCTATTGTATACAAAATATATATACTTTAATTATATGGTACTATATAGTAAGATGCCAATACAATCTATATGTATATATGTGTATATACTATATATAAATATATGCATATAGTCTTAATGGAGCACTTAGCTCGCCTTTCTATTGTTTTGCAAAATACACAACAAAGTTTTCTTTAATGGCAACGATGCGCTTTGTCGCAAGTCTTTTCGTTAAACAGTTTTGGAATTGTTTTCAGTTTTCTTTTTCTTTTCTTTTATCAATACATTTTTTGTTTTTTGTTTTTTGTTTTTTTTTTTTGTTTTGTGTGTAAGATTTTGATTTGATTCTGGCGCTACATATTTGATTTGATTTATATTAGTTTCATTTTACGCTTAGTTTTACGGTTTGGTTTTTAGTTAAGTTATTTTAACAAAATACTCGCTTGATTGGCTTACGCATAAAACGTTTTAGTGTTCAGTACAGTCTATATGTTCTGTAGTTGTTGTTTTTGTTGTTGTTGTTGTAACTGTTGAATACGGTTTGGGTTATATGTCTATATCATGTCAATGCGCACGATTTTGTATCGCAAAAGGGAAGCAACGAATTTTTAGTAGCGAATGCGTTTTTCTAAAGACAAAGACTAGAAAAGTTTAAAACATAATCGAAAGCGTGTGACAAAAAGCGAACTGTTACAAAAAAAAAACATATGTATATATATATATATATATAAAATAAGACGTCTTTTACATATATATGCTATAAAATACATAATGCAGTGAGTGTGTTAATGTGTGTGTGTGTTTGTGTGTGTGTGTATGGGCCCGGCTGAGCTGCTCCCCAAGGCGAGAGAGATATGTCGCGTCGCAATTTACTAACAAAAATAGTTGTATATAGAGAGCACACATGAAATAGACTGAGAGGTAAAAACTACATTGTAAAGCTCTAAAGAAAAAAATATACATGTACACAGCATTTGTGTACTATATAATCAAACTTGTTAACTAACTTTCGGTCCATCGTCCATCGTCCTCTTTATCAACATTATCAACAGCATATATGGCCACAAACTTATGCGAAAATCATATAATGTGTAAAAATTATACATAAAAATTGTTTCATGTAAAATACGCTTAACTAATTTCGACTAACTACTTAAATGAACACAAAAAAAATATAGATATATAAAATGAAAACAAACACAAAGATAAATACAATACAAATACAAAAAAAAACGAACAAAATTAAACGAATCTGCCTTAACATTTGTAATTTGGCAATTATTGAGCAACTGCAGTTGGGTATATATATTCGGGTACAGGGTAACTGCGGGTATATTGGCACACAACCAGTTAGCAGTGCATACAATAAGTGTATCTCTCTCTCTCTCTCTTTGTCTCTCTCACTCTCTCTAATTTCTAACAGCACCGAGCAGTTAACACCGCGTTTGCTATTTACATGGCCTTGGCCCAAGTTTTCAATGGCAGCCTGCGTACGCGCGGGGATTTCATGTTTGGCGTAAAAAGGGGTAAAAGGAGCAAAGCTCACGAATATCCTAACCGTCATCCTTGCCGGGTCGTGTGTTTGTCAATGGGTGTCTGTCTGTCTGTCTGTATTTGTGTGTGTGTTTAATGTATAATATTTATGCATCGACTATGCATATACGAGTTGAACTTATCTATGAGTGTATATTTAATAATATATGTGTATGCGATGATGGTTGGCGCTACTCCTGCCATTCGTTCTCATCGACACCTTCCATTTCATCCTGCTCCAACTTGGTTGTGTACTCCATGCGCGCGCTAACCGATTTTTGGATCTGCAACGCAAACGAAACGTGAGTTAGAGAAAAAGTTTGAAGAAAACTGAGAGACGTACCTCCTGCTGCTTGTTGCTTTCATATTCGGACTTGCTGCCAAAATTTGAATGATCCGGTTTTTTAGCTAGCGCCGGAACTTGTTGTTTGGAGGATACTAAAAATGATAAATTAAAGACGAGAATGAGACAACTGCAAAACAAGAGAAAGAGAGAGAGAGAGCGAGCAAGAGATGGCAGTATCTTACGCGTGTCCATGCCCTCCGGCTTAAGGCTAACTTTGGCAGCGATCTTGTCGTTGCAGGCAAACCAATCCTCAGCAGACAGCGTGGCGCTCCATGTAATGCGCGTGGGTGGGAACAAATCATCCTGGAACAGTTCGCTCTGCAAATCAAAGTAAGTGTTAATTATATGTACCAACATCTGTTTGTAGTTGAAATAATCAATGGAATCGAATGGGTGGGGGGTACCTTGATGCGCGGCACTGTAAAGCTGAGCGGCTCGATGGTTGTGTTTGTTAGCCTGTATGCCTTAGAGAACTCAACGCTGGCCACATCGCAATGGTTCTTGGTGAGAAAACTGAGGCCCTGATGCAGCGAGGAGCAGCGATGATGCGACAGCGGGCATATATACGGCTCCTCATCGGTTATCTCATAGCAATAGATGGTGGAATCGCCTTTGCCGGTTACAAACAATGTGGAGCTATCCTCATCATAATATGGAATCAGTATCGATGGCGACACATCCAAGCTGGCCGTATTCAACGGCGCAGTCAATTTTTGTGCATTGTACACGCTTATCTGACGTTCCGAGACTCTGCAATGGTTCAATGTGTGTGTGTCAGTTATATATATACAAAGGATAGGAAATAAGGTGAACCGACTTGTCGAATCCGGTGCAGACAATGTAGTGACCCTCGAGCGCCCAGGTGATGCGTGCACCACGTGTGCCCACGGGCCCGTTGCCCTCGCGTACGGGCGTCTCAGATTGGCGTGGATTGTAGACGCGTATTTTGCCATCTTTGCAAACGCTGGCACCCAATTTGCCGCAGGGGCTCCAGGCAAAGTCGAATATCTGATCCGTGTGACCGGTTAGTGCGCACTTTTCGGTCATGGTGCGCAAATCCCACAGCTTAATGGTCATGTCATAGCTGGCGGTTAGCAGCACGTCAGCGGCCAGCGGATGAAAGCGTATAAAATAGATCTTGTCGAGATGTGCGGTCAATTCGCCTTGCGGCGTATTTGTCGGCTCGCTCAGGCCGCCCTCCTCGATGCGCCACAATTTGACAATGCCATCGTCGCAGGCAACTGCCAGACGCTGTGCATCAAACGGATCCCATTGGAAGTCCATAATGTTGCTGCCATTCACCAGCGACGGTATGACGCCATCGGGCAAACGGCCGGGGCGGCTCAGCTCAAATATGGCAATCTTACCGCCGGGCCCAGAGAGCGGCACAGCGACACGCTCATGATTCGCATGAAAGCCATTG